GCCTAAATGCACTGAGTTGCCGCCATGTGATTGGCTGATTAGAAATTAAGTGTTAACGAGCAGTTGGACAGGTGTACCTAATAAAGTGATCTGTGAGTGTATTTTAAATCAAATTTAATGGCTCAGGTTCAAATACATTACAGACCAAAGGTTTGGACACACCTTCTCATTCAAAGAGTTTTCTTTATTTTCATGACTATGAAATTTGTAGATTCACACTGAAGGCAACCATTTCAGGTGACTACCTCTCAACAGAATGCCAAGAGTGTGCGAAGCAGTAATCAAAGCAACTTTTCACACTTTTTTAAGTATATAATACCACATGTGTTAATTTATAATTTTGATGCCTTCAGTGTAAATCTACAATTTTCATTATCATGAAAATAAAGAAACTCTTTGAATGAGAAGATGTGTTCAAACCTTTGGTCTTTACTGCATATACAATGAAATCTAAAAAATGTTTGCAGTTGAATTAACCTGACTTGAGGCAAATTTTTTGCTGGCCTAGTCAAAAACAAACTGAATTGTCTTTTGTTGTTTAAAGGACAGTTCTGTGCTGTAACGCTTGTTTCTTTTTTTCTACAGTCTCAAGCAGCTGCTGCAGCAGAAAGTAACACAAAAGCCAGTTCTCTATTTTAATGACAAACGGTTGCATCAGTCTTCCAACATTCGTGACTCCCAGTATTTACAGTAAAACCACTTCTTTAAAATCCCCTGATGTCCATTTTGTTGTGCTTGTGAACACATACTGAATGCTTTCATTCCTGGCTGTGGACAATGTGGTAAAGCTGCTGCGCTTTGAGTCTTTAAGACTTGCATTCCCTTTCACCTTCTTCACAGCATCACTCGCTGACAGATGATAGCAGAAGTGTTTCAGAGTAAAAGCACCCAAACCTCAGTCCTGCTCTGTCCTATTTGACTTGAGAGGAGCTGTTTGCTGGGAGCTCAGTTTGGATCGTAGAGATTTTCTCTCCCATGACGTCCAGGGAGCTTGTCCCGTGCGATGAGCTTGAAACGCCCTTTTCCACCGAGCGCTGCTCCGAGCTGTCGCCTTCATCTGGCTTCAGGAAGCCCTCTCTGCTTTCGGGTTTGATGAACTGCACGCTCAGTCTCGGCACCACGCCGGCGGCACCCTGCTGGTTCGGTTTGCGGACGCACTGGGAGAGGGCAGAGAAGCAGCTCTTTTTGAAGTTTTCGTTCATGAACGCGTACACGATGGGGTTGTTGAAGCTGTTGAAGAAGCCGATGGCCTGAACGATGGCGATGATCATGTTTAGAGTCACGCCGTCGTACTTCTTCTCCAGGTCATCTGCAGGTTCAAACACAAGGAGAAATTGAACTTTGAAAAAAATGATTGTTATGATTCCTGGCACTTATGGGACACGAAGCCAGACTTACTGTACTCAAACAGCATGTGCACTGTGTGGAAAGGTGCCCAACAAACGGTAAACAGAAGGACAATGGTCACCATCATTTTGACAGCTCTTTTCTTTTTCCTGTCAAAAAAAGATTAGAAAGTAAATTTGGTAAATACAAATAGCAGCAGTAGGTAGCTGTAGCCCCCCTAGCCTGTTACACCTGCACAAATATTTTATTATTTCTGTTATGGCCATGTAACGCAAAGTTATCAATGATGTAATGATTGTGAATTTATTTCTGTGAAAGGTGCTATATAAATAGAACTTTGCTTACTTACTTACTTGCACTATACACTAAAGTCTATTAATTTCCTTTTAAGTGATGACTCATTTGTAAGGAACGTGCATTTTTGGGATGAGCAGTAGAGCTGAGTATCTGGGTTGCGCTCATGGCAGATTTGCCAAATCTTTGCCAAACAGCTTATTTTGTTGTTGCAATTGACGCTTGTTTTGAGCTTCTGGTACCCCCCCCCCACCCCCAATTACCCCCAAGTTTGGTCACTATAGTGACCAA